TGCGCTTCATGCCCGCACCCTGCGCCTCATGCCCATGCCCTGCTCCTTACACTCATGTGGTTTGACTCCAACCACACCCTGCGCGTATCCACCCGCACATCGAGCCGAGCGCCTTCACCTGCGCCCTGCTCGTCTCAATCGTACGCACTGCACATTCACTTGCACCCTGCGTGTCCTTTTCCTGTTCCCATGCGATCTCCCCGCACGCGAGCTCTCCTTCCGAACATTAGACCTTATGCCAACCTACCCACCTCCACTACAAGTTGCCTGCACCATGGTCCTACTTCTGGACGCTCCACCTCAAATCTTGATCGATCTTCCACTACGATCTTCATTTCAAGATCTTTTATCTGCTCATCATCAATACTGATCACAAACTTATCAGCACCAAACTGCCTTCCAACCTTAAGGGAAGCTGTCGTACTCCCAGTGCCCGTGCCGGCAAGCTTACACTAATGCATTCTGGCTCAAGAATTCCCTTTCCGCGTGATCTACTCACGTCGTCCAGATAACTATTTGCATATTTAATATCCCAGCACAAACATGCTTTAAGATCAAAGATCTCCATTGATCAATAGTTTTTTGTCTCGATTTCCACAAAAGTCCCAAGTCCAAAAGACAATCAAGATCCACCCATTCTTTATCTATTCTTGCTAAGACATCACCTCCGTCCTATTGTGCCTTCGAAGCTTCTGTGCGAACGAAATTAAGCCAAACGGCCTACCACCTGCTTCTCCTCTTACCTCTCGCCGGATCTCCACACGCTACCTGCGAGCCTCCCTCCTTTCTTGAATTGTTTTCTTTGGACAAGAAAACCTGCTCCGCCTCCTCCACCTTGCTTAATTTCCTCTAACCAAGCTCTGATACCACTTGTAGAATCTTGATTGAGGAAGAAGAACTTCCTTCATGAGCTTCTTGGGGAGGAGGGAGTGAGGGAAGGGAAGAGGGAGAGAGGCAAAACTCAGATATTGTATTTCTTAAACCATACTATTACAGCCTATAGAGCTTCTATTTATAAACATAAAGGCTACACAACAAGCTACAAACCTAAAACTATGACCAATATCTAACATAAACTATATATAGCTTTTTTCTTTTTTCATATCGTCCAGGACAATAACTATTGATCTTCATGGAGGATAAGAACAGAGATTATCCATACTACATGCACTATGATTAGTGTTACAATCTGGGAGAATGATTGATTGTAATTAGTTTCCAAGTGGAAAATTGTTAGTTTTGTGTGAAGTATAATTGTGTTGATCAATCGAGTTGTACTATTGCCACAGAACTCAACTTAGTTTGTCGTGTTCGCTGGAGGGGTGTCCTCCCCTTACTTGGGTTCAGGTGCTTTGTACTTAAAAAAAATGTTTTTCGTACAATGCTCCAATGTTGTGTACCCGAGCACTGTAGTGCTATGCACCCGAGCACTGTAGTGCTATGCACCCGAGCGCCCCGACTGTGAAATTTGCTGGGAGAAACAACATAAGTGAAATGTCACAGCGTTGTGTAGTGTCGCAGTACTGGGAATTTGAGCGCCGCAGCATTGTCAAACAGATCGGAATCATAGGTTGAGCACAGCAGCACTCCAAATTGGCGTCATAGAGCTTCAAGGTAGATTGAAGAGTTTTATTTCTCGATTTTCACAAGGGTGGCGTCCCTTGGTGAAATTAACTTAGCTTTCTCTTGTGTTTGTGTGTGAGAACGGTGCAAAAATGTAGAGAAGCAAGGAGAGAGTGAGAGAAAAGAGAGATCTATACTTATTTCTCTCAATTTCATAGTTGATTTTTTGGTGTAGTGTGGCTATGTGGTTTTTTCCCTATTTCGAATTTTTTTAATATTAAATTATGGTGCTCCTTAGTTTCTGTTGCTTTTACTTTCTTTTTTATTTCGTTGCATGGTTTACTTCCTTCCATCCCCAACATTTAAAAGCGAAGGCTACAAAATATGAGAGATGATAGATGGAATACTTTGTAAGCGGAAGTCTATGTTTTTTTGTGAGAAGAATAATTTAATCATTTTAAATATAGCTGATAATTTTGTAATACGAGGGAGATCGAGGTGTCATTCTCAAGAAGCCATAAATGAATATCATTATAAAATTGATTTATTTTATTCATTTATAGATATGCAACTTCAAGAGTTTAACAATAAATTTGAAAAGATTAACACTGAGTTGCATATGTGTGGCATGCTTGAATTCATGCAACTCATATTAAACTTTTGACAAACAAAGATTGGTATGTGTTAAAACTAGAAATTTGAGAGGAAAAAGCTTGCTTTATTATACAATATACTCCATATTTATAGATCTATACAGGAGGTCTAATGAAGAAACAAATAACTACAGAATAATTGCTAAAAATAAAATCTTTCATAAATCAGATGTCTAGTTATGTAAGGTACTCAATGAGTTTCTAGAAGGCCTCCCATGGATCCATCTTTGTAGTCGTTGGATCTATGAGGGAACTGAGGGATGAGATTTAACAGTATGTATAGCGAAATTTTATGCATTAGACTTTTTATATACATATATTGTTATATTAGATAGCCAACTTGAGACTTTTATCACTAATATGAGATCTAGTGATATATTCAACAATTTAAGAGGAATTGAAGAACTTGCACAAAAAATGATGGAGACTAAGAAAAATGATGTTTATCCTTTGGTGTTCTTACGTATAAAATTTGCTTTGATATTATCAATTGCTACAGCAAGGTCTCGAACGAGCATTATCCGTTATGAAAATTGTAAAGAATTATTTACACAATCATATGAGAGATTCTTGGATGAATGATTATTTGATTATGTATTAAAAAAAGATGTTTTTGAAAGTATTGATAATAAAGTGATTGTACAACAATTTCAAAATATAATGACTCGAAGAGAGAAACTATTGGTTTATTGTAATAAAAATATGAATATCATGTGCTCATGATTGTAAGTGTTTTTATTATATAATTTATCTTTTTATAGAATAAGTAAAATAAAAAATTTTTAGAACCACTGATGTCGGTCCCAAGCTTGAATGAAAAAAAGATGAAGGATTTTTCAATAATCATAATTTGTGCCCCCATATAAAAAAAATTTTAGCTCCTCCACTAGATGCATATATATCGAACACTTAGCAAATCATCATATAGCACCACAAGATTTATTATAATCAAATAACTAATGAGTCACACAAGAGTAACACAAGCTCATAGGTTAAAAATAATCATCACTTATTTTAACCTAAATAAATAAATTTTTGTGATATTCTTGAAAAACATACCTACTAGAAGCTCATACAAATATTCTAAGATAATTAGCCAAAAATTAGGAGGATTTCAGGAAGGAGAGTTATGGCGAATTAAGGAGGAAAGCACTCTTCTAGAATCTAGTTTTATAAGGAAGAAAGGAGTTTAGAAAGAAATACTAGGGGTAGGGGTGTCAATATTTAACACGATCCGAAAATCCGACTCAAAAATTTCGGGTTAGGGTCAACCTATTTTGCAAACAGGTCGAGTTCGGGTTCTCGGATGCGACCCATTTGGAGGAACAGGCCGATTCTAGTTTGCCCGAAAATTCAAACTCAAACTGGGTTAACCCGGGAAAATCACGCGTGAGTCACGTCCGCGCTGACGCGGCCCATCTCATCCCATCCACGTTGACACGTCCTGTCCCATCCTATTTGACGCCGTCGTTGAGTGGCCATCGTTCATCAGTAACTGGATCGGAAGCAACGACAACAACGGGCCGGCCTCACCGTTCATCTATAGTTGGATCGGAAGCAACGACGCCAATAGGTCGACGGCAGGGAGCTCACCATTTTTCTTTTGTAGTTGGATCGAAAGCAACAACGATGATAGGAGAGAGCTCATTGTCCATTCTGATGTTGGATTGGAAGTAACGAAAACAAAAGGAGGGAGCTCGTCATTTGTCGTCCCACAGCTCAACGCCTCAATCGCTCAAAATTGGTTCGCGGGTCGGGTTTGGGTTGGTTCAACTTGTGTAGGGTCAGTTCTGGATTGGACCTAAACCCAACCCCTGACCCAATTTTGACAGCCCTAACGAAGGGTGTCAAAACGGGTCTGCGGGTTGGGTTTGGGTTCGGGTTGAACTCGAGATTGACCCGATTCAAACGAATTAACCCTAACCCAACCCGATTTTGTAAACGGGTCAAAACTTCAGATCCATACTGAACTCATCGGGTTACCAGGTTAACCTGACCCGATCCGCTAACCCGAACTTTTCCAGGTTAAGTGAGAATGTGCAGGCGTGATCTCGACTGACAAGCGAGCGAGCGAGCGAGGGTGAGGGAGCAGGAATGCAAGCGCATGGGAGTGGGCTTGATGTGGGCACAGTCCAAGTGCAGACGTGTCACACAAGAGTGGGACGAAGGGAGGATAAGCAAGGCTAGTGGCCTGCGTGAGTGAGCGGGGCGCGAAAGGAAGAGCGAGTCCGGGTGCTGACTCGAGCGAGCGCAGCAGGGTGAGCTTGACCAGTGGTCTACACAGTCGCGAGCTCGGGAGAGGCGAAGAGCTATCACGAGTGCGGGAGAGGCGAGGAGCTGTCACGAGCGCGGGAGTTGGAGATCAGATCCAGGTCAATTCGGATCACTTTTGAGTTTCGGATTAACCCAAATCCATCCCGATTTTTTAAATAGGTCAGCTTCTTGAACTCGAATCCGACTCATATGGTAAACGAGTTGACCCAAACCCGGGCTTTTTCGAATTGGGTTTTGGATCGAGTCAAATATTGACACCCTAGGGAATACTCTAGTAATGATAAATGTTGGAACCCACTTGCTATTTACAATCTGCCAGAGCCCACGACATGGAAGGTGCATTAATGCAAATCGTCCACTCTATGCGTGATTGGCATTAAGACCATCTGCATGGAAAATTAAAAGGCTGGTGGTTGTGCAATTAAAAAGCTAACATGAATAACCAACTAAAGTGCTAAACATAATAAGAAATTCAAAAGCCAAAAATGGCAAAGCTGACGGCGTACTCACGGTAAGCAACCTCCGAGTCGTCACGGCATCCATGACGAGCCTCACGAATTCCGACTTGCGGGCGGAGCCGGCGTCCTCGAACTGTAGGCAGGTCGACCTTAGACCGTTGAGCGAGTAACCGATCAAGTCCTTCCCACGAGCCCAGAATGGCTTCCAAGCGTCTTCCTTCCTAATCAAATCCTCTATAGCCAAACCGACCTCCCCTTCTTTCTCCTCCGCAGCGTCCTCCATTTCTTCCCGATGCGCCCCTCCCCTGCCTATAAGACCCATGAGCTCCTTCAGGATCCCGACCCCGGCGATCCTGTCGCAGACTCCGGTATGGAAACGTAGCGTGACCACCGACCGGCCAGGCTGGTTCAGCTCGTAAACCGAAGCGAAGAAGGACCCGACCGGCTTGCCCTCGGTCGGTTCGGCCCAGGGGTTTCGGTTCATCTCGTGCTCAATGACCGCATGGAAGAAGGAGACCGGCGGCGTAAGTCCGTCAACGGTAAGCGGTGGGAGAAGATCGTACGGAATGAGCTCGATTTCGTCATAAGGAGTGGGGGAGATGAGGAGGGGCGGAGGTTTGCTGGCACTGGCGGCACTGGCGGAGGGGAGAAAGCCACGGAGCATGGGGTGGGAAAGCTGTAGGCGGCGGAGGGAAGATCGCAAGTGGGGGAGAGAGATAGAGCGGGAGAGAAGCAGGGCAAGTACGGTGATGCCAGTGCCGCCGGGCACGGCACGGCACCAGCTCAGCTCCGTGCCGCCGACCGGCCTGCCAGTTATCAGATCGCCGTTGGTGGGTGGAGTCTCCATGTATGAACGAGAGATGGAGAGAAGGGCAGCAATGGACTAGCAGTGACGGACAAGGGGATGTCACGACGGAGACTTCATCGGAGTAGGGATAAGAACTGGAAGTACTTTGCACAAATGGGTGGTTGCTTAATTTAACAAAGGTTTAAAAGAAAATTATAAATACATTAAATTATTAAAAAAAATTAAATTGCTCACTCGTTTAGGTAATATATAATTGTCCCCACTCGCCCAACTTCGGAGGTTCGACGCCAACCTAAATTTTATTTTATTTTTTAAGGTATTATTTTAATAAATTATTTAATTATTTAGGAATTTACGAAGTTATCTTATCTTTATGAAATTTTGCCTATCTCATTGAATTTATATTTTTGTTTATTTTTTAATATTTTTATATGATGCTAAAATTTTGAACCAATTAAAAAAATATAAAAATGAAAAATAATTTCTTAGTACAAAAATATTTTAATTTTGAAATATTTGTACTAAAAAGCTAGTTCATAAAGAAATAAGAAAGTTGTCGTTCGAGACAGCTTTCGTACTGCTTTTTAAAGCGATTTTTTAGTACAAATTTTTCAAATTCAAATAATTTTGTACTAAAAAATAGTTTTAGAAAGAGAATAAAGCCTTCCCAAACGAAACTTTAGTTTAAAGAATTTTGTACTAAAAAATTACTTTAGCCAAAAGGAATATATTTATATAATCATGGACTAAGCTGAGGTCTTCATCTACTGATCAAATCTATTGATTTTCAATCATGTAAGTTACTTAAAATTGCTTCCATGATTTACTCGAATCAGGCTTCATTTGAGATAGCTTTTTTACTACTTTCTAAAACAATTTTTTAGTACCAAAATTTCAAGTTTAAAAAATTTTTGTATTAGAAATCTATTTTATAAAACAGTAAGAAAGATGTCCCAAAAGAAGCCTTAGACTCTATAATCGTAGATGAAAGTGGAAAGAAATCATTATTAGAATTGATAGCGATTGCAATAGGAACTAGGAAGGGTGCCCGAATATTTTCCAAAAAAAGAATATAGCATCCATACTTAATTAATACAAGGAGGTGATGAGACCAACCTAAGCCTAAAACTGCAAAAAGGTCTGAAATGATGTAATTGTATAAATAGCACCTTGCATTAATATTTTAATTGATTTCAAGAAACAAGGAAACAACCAATAGAACTCCCAATTGCGAAAAAAAATAACTTTATTATTTTCATCTCTGCATCGAAAACCTTTATATATAACACTTGAATATTAAACTTAATCATAATATAATTGATTATCTCTCTAGACTCCTTGCTCTTAGTGGAATATGACTGTATTGATCAATCTGGTTGTTCTATTGTCTCTAACCTTAATATATGTCATATTCACTAGGGGGTGCGGGGGATTTACCCCCTGCTTGGGTTCAGATGCTTTGCACCATATTTTTTTTTTTTTTTCGTACAATGCCCCGACGCTGTGTACCCGAGCGCCCCAGTGTTGAACAATAGAGATCATAGCACCACAGTGGCCTTGATGTGGCGTTGCAACGGTTCAAGATAGAGGCTTGAGCGCCGCATCACTGCAAGACGGACTGGATGATTTTCTTTCTCGTTTCTGAAGGGTTTCATCCATTGCGGTTATTTTACTTGGCTTTCTCTTATATTTTGAGAATGTAGACATTGAGAACAGTGCATGTGAGAAGAGAAGCAAGGAGAGAGTGATAGAGAATAGAGATTTGTACTTATTTCTTCCAATCTTCATAGTGGATTTCTTGTTGTGGTGTGGCTTCATTGTTTTTTCCCTATTTTGAATTTTTCCGCGTTAAATCCTAGCATCCTTTACTTTTCCGTTGCTTTTACTTTCTTGCGTGTTTTGTCATTGTGATATTTACTCCTGATCTCTCCCCAACACTTGTTAAGTTCACATTGTATGCATAAAATAACAAACTAACATAAAAATCTTGAATTACATCATTAGTAGTAGTCAACATCATATAATTGGCCACATAATAGAAATACCACTTGCACTACCTAATTTCCTACTTTTTGGCATGAAAATGTCAACCACAAAGATGTGATGTGTTGTTATGTTGAACACACACAATTGTCAATCTGAATTTGTTATAACTTCATGTATTCAGTACTTTCATTTATCAACCAAATATTAATGTTTCTTTGCAAAATGAAATTTTATTTACAAATTATGTTGATAGTTAGTTCAAAAGGAATCTTATAGTTTCTTCTTCAAATGTTTGATTATCGATTATAATTTCATGTATTCATTCATATTGCATCATTATATTAGTTAGAATAATCATTGAAAAACCATTGTTATGTAATATAAGCACACAAAATTTGTAGATGTAACTTGGTTATAGCCAAGGTGGGTGTTGGAATCCAAATAATTGTGAGTTTAGGTATGTCAATGCAAAAAATTCATGACATCATACAAAGCATGAGAGAAATGAACGAAATATTAGCTCTTTATTTGAGTAGTTGAAATTTTCTTTTGGGAGCAGTGCGGTGCTATGGAAGGTAGCATTGTGATGCTAGGTCTATAAATATCTAAATCATTTTGTAAAAATTTATTTCTTTGCATTTAGACAACAAGTTAGAGAAAGGAAGTGAGAGAATTTAGAGAGAAAGTGGGATTTGGAGGTCATAGGTAGTTGACTTTCGACGAGTCAGTTGAAAAAGTTATTTGTTTAGAGATAGGTTAGCATTACCCCACTTTAGATTTCAATTTTATTGTTTATGTTGATAATTTTGGTATTTTATTTGGTTGGAGTTTATACTAACAAAAATTTATGGAGATTTAGAAACATTCCATGTTGTGACTTTTGATATATGATATAATTGATTATTTTGATCATATTGACAATATATATATATA